CAAAATCCAGGTACCTGAGTGGATGTAAAGATGAATAAATACTTCCCACATTTGTAAATTCCTTTTGTGTGTAGTTTTTAGCCATTTGAACATGAAGGCTGAGCTCTTCAAAGGCTCAGTATTTCCCCTTTTTATGATTAATAAAATAGTGCTTTAATACTTTAGGACACAAGGGAAGTGTACCATTAACAAGAATTAGAAGAGTGTGGTCTTTAATGTTGTTATTTCAAACTCTTCCTCCCTGACTTGCCTTGCTCTTTTTTCCTAACCTTCTTTCCAGATGGAACGTTAATTAGTGTAGGATGTCCCCTGAGCTGAGCACTAGCTGTGGCAAACCACTTGGTGATTCTATGATTCAGTCAGGGATGCAGAAGATAAGACTTGCAAGATTCTCCATCCCCTTTTATATCTCCTATTTAACTTGGCTCTCTGGAGAGCAGAGGCTTGTCATCCTGTATATTCAGGAATTCTGGAAGTTCTCTGCCTTTGCTGAGATCTTTTGATTCCTGAAAAAGCATTTCCCTGTTGGAATGGCCCTTCATTACTGTTGAGCTCCAAGCAAAGAACAACTCATCAGCCTCTCTGAGGGGCACCCTGTAGGAACAGACACTGATCTCATCATAGAATCCCAGACTGGTTTAGGTTGGAAGGGACTTTAAAGATCATCCAGATCCCACCTCCTTCCATGGGCAGGGACACCTCCCACCAGCCCAGGTTGCTCCAAGCCCCATCCAACCTGCCCTTCAACACTGCAAGGGATGGGGCAGCCACAGCTTCTCTGGACAACCAGTTCCAGGGTCTCACCACCCTCACAGTGATGATTTCTTCCTCATGTCCAAGCTAAATCTCCCCTCTTCCACTTTTAAACCATTACCCCTTCTCCTCTCACTACAAACCCTTGCCTAAAGTCCCTCCCCAGCTTTCCTGGAGCCCCTTCAGGGTACTGGAAGGCTATGAGGAGTGACACTGCAGACATGCACCAGTTTGGGTGAAATAAACCCTGACCTGATCCTTCACCCAAATTCCCACTCAGCCCTCAAATTCTTTCGGCTCCTCTTGTTTCACATCACCAAATTTGTGTGCCAGCACCAAAGTCCCTCCCAAACATTCTGCCCTTGCTAGAAGCCTAAGAGATCTCCTGAGGGTGGAAGGAAAAACCCAGCTGCCTGCTCACGGGTGGAACCTTCTGTTGTTACAGCAACGTGGTGGAGAAGTGCGTGACCCACGCCTCGCGCACGGAGCGCGCCATGCTGATCGACGAGGTGTGCACTATGAACGATGGCCCTCACAGTGCCTTATACACCATGATGAAGGATCAGTACGCCAACTACGTGGTGCAGAAGATGATCGACGTGGCAGAGCCAGCTCAGAGGAAGATTGTCATGCACAAGGTAAGCAGCTGCCCCGGGCTGGTGGAGATGGAAGGCTTGGCACTGCCACGCTGGGTGCCGAGACAATCACAGAATAATCCTGGTTGGAAGGGACCTTGAAGGACCTTGAAGATTATCCAGTCCAACCATAACCTAAATCCCCCTAATATAACCTAATTTACCCATTCAGTGCTTAAATCACATCACTTAGCACTGCATTTCTTTTAAATACTACCAGGGATGGTGACTCCACCTCCTCCCTCCTGGGCAGCCTGTTGCACTGACCAACCCCTCTTTTGGTAAAGAAGTTCTTTCTAATATCCAGAAAAGAAGGCTGAAGTGGTTGCTTTGGCCTTTAGAATTTCCTAATGACAGAAGGTTTTCCAAGCTGAGTATTTCAGTAGTAGCTGAACTAGGGAAATGTGAAATAATGAGATGCCATTTGGACTTAAAACTAGCTGGTTGCTTCCAGCAATCTCTTCTGACCTAGTAACCTAGTTCTGCGGTTGTGGCGTAGCAGATTCTGCTAAAACTCTGCCTGCAGCAGAGCCATGGAGGGTGCTCTGGGGGGTGCCTTGCTGGGGTGCTCTGTGGGGTGCTCTGGAGGTCTGGCAATGACGACACTCTTGCCCTCACTGAGGTCAGATTCCCTGATGAGAGCAGTTTTATGCGCTCAGTGGAACCGAGCCAGACCTCCCTGCTCCTCCAGTGCTCCTCCAGTGCTCCTCCAGTGCTCCTCCACACCCCTGGAGCCCCAGCAAGGACCTGCTGGGTACATTTCTTGTAACTTCATGTCCCCGCTTCACAGCCCTGAGCAGGACAGCTAGGGTGGTGGGTGACACTGCTCCGAGGGGCTGTGCTGCTGGAGCCTGGAGCCATTCATCACCTTCCCTGCCTCTTTGGAATACAATTTTGATGAGAGACTTCCATGCTTTAACCTCTGTGCTGTGGTGTTTGAATACATAACAGTTTCAGGAGGTAGTATTTGTCAAAAATGAAGACGTTCTGGAGTTAAATATGCATGGCTGCCAGTCCTGCCTTCCCAGGCTGCACGCCTGCTGCCCCAGGGGTTGGAGGCTCTAAAGATCAGGTGATGTCTTCATTTTCCTGCTTTTGAAGGTCACATTTGTGCATCTTTATAGCTGAAATGAATGGAAAAATAGGCTTTTCAGTGTGTAGTGGAACTGAGATTATTTCCTTCAGTCACGTGGTTTTAGGGTCTGTTACTTTGTGAAAAATACCAGCTAGAGCTAGACCTCTCACTAGAAATAAAATACTGACTCACACTGCTGTGGAAAACCCTCTATTTATTTTTCTTTTAAGAGGAACTATGAAGAAATGTCAGGTATTCAAATCCCAATGAAATCAAGTGTATTTAAGAATTCTTGAGTAAAATGAAGCAAGTGATTTTTCTGTAAAAAGAAGTGGGTAATATCTGTGCAAAGGAACTGATTTTTACCTACATGAGGTAGGTAAAACAGTATATAAACAATATAAATGCAGCTGGTTAATGCAGGGAGGTTAATTCTTAGGTTTAGGAGTCAGTCAGAGTAGTTCTTTCAAACCAAAATCTATTATTCCAAAATTATAATTAAATAAAAATATGTGGCAAGGGATACATGCAGCTTAACTGTAGCAGAATGAACCTGTAGCTTTATTAATACATATTTAAAAACAAAGAAACATGAATGATCTTTGCTTCCTCTGTTTAGCAAAGTATTTTTTTAAATAAAATGCTAATTAGGTTATTATCAATGTGATTGTCAAAAGTAGACCTGGGATGACAGCTCAATGGGACTGGCTGCACATGGAGATCTCAGCTATGTTATCAAGCTGAATGAAAACCTGGGAAATCCACTTGCCTTTGGATGTGAAAAATTGCTCTTGGTGCAAACAGTTCTTGTTAAACATGGCACTTTTCTTAAAAAAAAGAGTATTGAAAAGTTATTGTAGCAGTCAGTTCTGCCAGTAAGAAATGGGGACCAACAAAGAAGGAACTGTTGGACCTGGGGAGGTTTTTTTCCTTCTTCTGAGCAGCAGCTTGGAAAGGGTCTGTGGGGAGGGCAGGACATCCCTTGATGGTGGGTACAGGATGAGTCTTTGCAGGAATTGAAATGGGTCCAGGCTGAGCTGCTGAAAGGGGATCAGTTTGGGATGGATTTCTGTGATTCCTCTCTTGGGACAAAGCCTTGTATCCATCCACACGCTTGGATCCAACTGGATTCCATTGCTTCAGGCAGAGCCACCTGCTTGACCAGAAGTTCCTCCTAAAAATAACATCAGTGAGTTAAGGAGCATTAACTTGAGTCCCCAGGATTGAGGCGACGACGCAAATGGCGCTTCCACATTTCAGGCACATCTGTGATGTTCTGCTGGTGGCCACCACTGACCTAGAGCTCACTCAGGGTGGCCACCACTGGCCTGGAGCTCACTCAGAGTGGCCATGGCTGGACTTTGGGTTTCTAAGCATCACTCATTCTCCTCTTTTCCCTCCTAGATCCGGCCCCACATCGCAACCCTGCGCAAATACACCTACGGGAAACACATCTTGGCCAAGCTGGAGAAGTACTACATGAAGAATGGGGTGGACCTGGGACCCATCTGTGGGCCACCAAATGGTATCATTTGAGGCAGCAAACGAGGCAGGAGCTCCCTGGCCATCCAGCATCTGCAACCAGCAACCCACAATATTCCAATATACAGTTAGAAAACGTTTTTTTTGGGGTTGCTAAACTGCTAAAAACAAACAAAAAAGAAAGAAAGAAAGAAAAAAAAAAAAAGCCTTTGTAAATTTCTTTAACATTATTATGCATAACATGTACTAATTATTTTTTTTAATTAACTAATTGCCCTGCTGTTTTACTGGTGTATAGAATACTTGTACATAGGTATCAAATGTACATGGAAAGGCCACATTTTTTTGTTCACTGTTGTATCTATATTCCAAATGTGGAGACTTTCAGGGTGGTTGGTTTGAAGAAAACAAACAAAAAAAAACAAACCTGCATTTTTAATTCATCTGCCTCGCAGGCAACTTTTTTGCAAATCTGTGGATTTTCAACTTTTAGTCAAAAAGAAAAAAATCAGTGAGAAGTTTCAATTTTAGTTAAATGGCTCAACCATTTAACACTTGTTTCTAAAGATAAAGAAAAATTCAACTTGCTAAAGCTTCAGTTTAAAGGAAAAAAAGAGAGAGAATGAAGTTTCTGAAACTTTTTAATTGCTTTATTCTTATTATTATTCTTATTTTTTGAGTATAACATGCTAAAGGAGGTAGCTTAGCTGTCGTTTTGGGGAAGAAAAATGTACACAGCCAGCAAGTTTTTAAAGCAGGGGGGTGGGTGTACTTGTTTACTGCCTACTCAGTTTGTTCTGTTAACCTGGAGAAGACACAATTGGATTATTTAGCATGAGGAAAACAAAAACAAAATCCAACTCGGCTTTGGTCTTGCTTCTATAAATATATAGTGTATACTTGGTGTAGACTTTACATATATAAAAATTTGTAGTATTTTCTTGTTTTGATGTCTGATCTGTATCTATAATGTACCCTAGTAGTGGAACATACTTCTGACTGTACAATTGTACATTTGTAAACCTCTGTAATGTAAATGTGGAGAAGTTTGAATCGACATAAACCCGTTTTTTGGTAAGGAAAAAGAATTAGCAAAACCTGTGCATTTCAGTGTATATTCACACCTTTTATGGTCGTAGCATATAGTGTTGTATATTGTAAATTGTAATTTCAACCAGAAGTAAATTTTTTCTTTTGAAGGAAATGTTCTCTTTATACAGCCTAGTTAATGTTTAAAAGGAAGAAAAATAAATGCTTGGTTTTATTTGTCACCTAGTTGAACAGTAGCAATCCTTTCTAAATGTTATACAAAAAGAATTCAGTTCAAAATAGTGTTTTTTTGAATCTTAAAAAGTAATGTTTTGCTTATTTTGTGACAGTAAGAAACAAAAAGTGCAAAAGTACAGAATCCCCTAGTTTTCCTTACAATCAGAGTCCCTTTTCACCTTGTAAAGTGTGAATCACCTTCCCCTTTTTGTACAGAAGATGAACTGTATTTTGCATTTTGTCTACTTGTAAGTGAATGTAACATACTGTCAATTTTCCTTGTTTGAATATAGAATTGTAACACTACACGGTGTACATTTACAGAGCCTTGTGTATATTTCCAATGAACTTTTTTGCAAGCACACTTGTAACCATATGTGTATAATTAACAAACCTGTGTATGCTTATGCCTGGGCGACTATTTTTTGTAACTCTTGTGTAGATTGTCTCTAAACAACGTGTGATCTTTATTTTGAAAAATACAGAACTTTGGAATCTGGCTTTGTGTTTGGCTTGGGACACTTTTTCTATAGCTTTTTACCTTTGGTTTGCATTTTAAGAGCAGCTTTCCAGTGTGGGCTGAGCGTGGCTGTGTCCTCTCCCAGCAGCAAAAGGACAAGGAAGAGCAGAGTGACCATGGGTGTGTATCTGCCCCCACTCTTGCCACCCCTCTTCCTGGGGTTTGGGATTTTGAGGTTTTTTCCCCCCTCTTTGAGCACTTCTCATGCTCTTCAGAGCCCATTCAAACTCCCAGCACCCCCAGCCTCCATCCTCACCAGCTGGAGGTGAATGAACAACCCCCATGTGTGTCTCAGTCACTTGAAGCACTTGGAAAGAGGAGCAAGGAAGAACTTCCCCTGGGACACCTCATCTGCTCCTGGTTTCCTCTGCTGCTTTCATCCTCTCTCTTTGCAGGCTGGGGTTGGTGCCTCTGGAGTTAGTGGTTAAGCAGAAGCCTTTTGTATCCTCATCCTCTTTTTGGGGTGAGGAGGGAAGGTGCTGGGAGGGGGCTGGGGAGCTGCACCAACCAGGTGAGGTGGGGATGGCCCAGCAAGATTGAGTGTTGACATGTTTTCTGGTTCATGGAGAACTGCTAGAAGAGCAAGAACAAGGAGCTTGTGTGTCAGTGCAGACTTTGTCCTGTCCCAAACTCTCCGTCCAAAGAGCTAATGATGGGGTCAAATCCTGGTGCTGGGTGACCAAAGTGAGGACTGTCCTGCTCTACCTGTGTCACCTCTACTCCATAATCTGCTGCCTGGGCCATGTTCTTGTGCAACTTCTCAGTCTGCTTTTGTCTTTTATTCCCCCAGTTCCCTGGCTGGGGGAAGCTCCAGCTCTGGATTTGATGCCCTGTGCTGCTGAAGAGGACTCTGTGTGTGACCCTTGCTTGGGGAGAACGTTGCCCTTCTCTTACCACCCAATTTTTCTCCATTTACCAGTGCCCAGGACTGCAGTTCAGCAACTGCTGCTTTTAAAGACTGAAGTTTTACATCAGAATCATTTGGGAAATCCCAGTAAGTTTGAGCATTTGTGCCAGTCGGGGGATGTGTGATGAATGGATGGAGGGGAAGCAGCTTCCCATCTTACAGGAAATTAGTTTCTTGGCTCAGGGCATTAAAACATTTGATTTTGGAGTATGTGTTAAATTACTGATCCTGCCCATGCTGCCACTTTGTTCTCACTCCTGAACAAAGCCCAATACCCCTGCGACCCAGCGGTGCTTTTAATCAGTTTTCACACCCTTTGCTGTTAAATTCAGCAGAGAGTGCTGACCTGAGCTTTCTCACACCTTTTTGTTTTATTTTGCCCTGGGTTTCAGGCCAGCCTGTGTCTCTAGGCAATAACCAACAGCCACGAGGGTCAGAGGAGCACCAGGGTCCTGCAGCCTTTTGGGCTCCTGTGGCTCCTTGAGCTCCATTTAACCCCCAGTGCTGGAGCAGCCAGGCTGGGCAGCAGCGTGGCTGTGGGGCTGGGACAACACATGGGCAAGACAAGGCATAGTTACCTATTTTTAGAAGTTGAATCGAATTTAGCATTGAGCATGGATCTCAGGTGGGAGGCTGGTGAGTCTGTCCAGGCTCCAAGTTTCTTTTCCTGGATACTCATGGGTCTGGAGTTAACCCTGGGCACCTTCTCCACCCCAGCAGCAGCAGCAAAGGTGTTTAGGGACCAATTCCACAGGTTTATCTCTTGCCCAGACCTGCAAGCTCCTGCTCTAAGCCTGGCCTGGGAGGAAGGATCTGGCCAGCAGTGGAGTGGGGGGGGGGAGGGGGCACAGTGGGGGGCTTTGCCAGGAAGGGTATGGTCAGGTCACTCTGTGCAGGTCCCTCTTTGGTGACTCTGAGCATGGCTGCTGGGGAAGGGCTGTGTGTCCAGTGTCCATCCCTCCAGCCAGGATCTGTCATGTCAACCGGGGCCCATCATGACGCTCAGGTTCCCTCACTTCACCCAGGATCCATCCCACTCACCAACAACAGCACAGCATCTCCCACTTCCAGCGGG